TGCAGAGCTTCACCACACAGGAGGGGACATTCATGGTCAAGTCCTGAAAGAAGACTGGCCCACACAGATTGTGCAGGTTGAATGTGTGAAACCCCTCAGCCACTCCAAGAAACTTGACTTGGTGGTTAATTGAGTTACACTGGGACATTACATGGAGTCTTCCTGTGCCCCTCTTTCCCTGTGAACCAAGTCATCTCACGGAAAAGTGTTGAGGTGATGGCCTGGCATTGTCACAGGAGTTGCAGTCCAGGGTGCCCAGGAATAAGTGTGGTTGGCCAGCATCACAAGAGTCCAGCTTGGAGTGGAAATCTGTTTATAGGAACTTGTACATGTACAGTGGTACCTTGGTTCACCAACTTGAATCTTTCCACTATTCTGGTCACAAACTAAGTTGGACGAGAACTGAATCAAGTTCAATGGTCAGGTTCAATTTTCACCTTATGGGGAAATTTGATTCAGTTCTCATCCAGTTCAATTTGCAACTAGAATCATGGAGAGAATTGAGTTCATGAACTGAGGTACCACTGTATCTGAAATAAGTTACTTTATTTCTATTTTTATAAGATGGAGAAGTGGACATATAGATGTATAGTAATTTGTCACATACACACCAGCTACAGGTGCAGGATTCGTTGTTGAAGTCTAAGCTGCAGCTGTTGATGTCTACTCCTATTGCAATTTGCATAGGGAGTGCTAATTGTTAAGCTAGAATTGGTTGCTATCAATGTCATTTTTATAACCACCTCCCCCTGCACAGCAAGTCCTCTTCTGAATGCTGAGGACACCCAAGATACACATCCTTAGACTTTATTGTCTAGTAGGGAGAGAGAGGTACAAGAGAGAGCTGGTTCCAGTGTAGTTGGAGGAACTTTAGTGCAAATATGTATAGTAACTGCTGTAAACCAGCCTGGTGAGGACAATCACTGAGACCCTGTGAATATACCTTCAGAGAAGACCTGAGCAGGGAGTGTGGAGGTACAATCCAGGCAGAGAGAAGACAGAGCAGGCACAGGGCACGTGGAAAACTCAGCTTGGCCAGAACCGAGTGTATAAAATGCAGTGGTAAAGGTGACACTGGAGAAGAAAGTAAAGGCTAAATCACGAGGGGCTTCTTGATAGCTCCCTAGGTTGGCTATAACAAGGTGCCACAACCTTTGGTACTTTGTTTGCTTCAAACAACAGAAATTTATTTTCTCATGGTTCTGGAAATTGGAAGCCTAAAATTAAGGTGTTGGAACCATGCTTTCTCTGGTCTCCTAGAGGTTCCCAGTCATTCATGGTATGTCCTTGGCTCATAGAAGCCTCATTTCAGTCTCGGATGTTGCTGCATAGCCATTTCACATTGTTTTCCTCCAAATATGTCTAGCTCTCTATTCAAATTCTGTGCCCCCATGCCCCCCAGCCTTGTGGTACTGGGGACTGAACCGAGGGCCTACACATGGAGATATATGGCCAACCCTTTTTAAGTTCTTCCATTTTGATACAAAGTCTCACTAAATTGCCCAGGCTGGGCTCGAACTTGTGATCCTCCTGCTTTGGGATCCCAGAGTGCTACGATTAAAGATGTGCACCACCATGCTGGGCCATTTTCCCTTTTTTATAAGGATACAGTCATGTTGGATTTGGACTTTAAAGACTTACCCTATTTTGTTTTTGTTTTTGTTTTTTTTGGTACCGGGGATTGAACTCGGGTCCTTGTGCTTGCGCAGCAGGCAGCAAAACCACTAAGCTAAATCCCCAACCCGTAAGATTTACCCTATTGACCTCTTCTTTCTTTTTATCTGGGTCCAGGTGTCTTAGTATCCAGTTTCCCTGGTATTCCCTGAGGTGAGAACTCAGAAGGGGTAAGCTTCCCAGGGAGCACCTCAGCATGCTGGGGGCCCATGTCTACTTCCTGCTATCTTTTCCCTGGGAGCAGCTCTGGCCCTGAGTTTTCTCTGTGGGTGGTGCTGCACCACCCTGGGGGAGGAAGAGGGTGACACAGTCTGAGGAAGACCATGTCTGTGATGCTTTCATGAAGATTTTTATTCAGTTCCATGGAACAAGCAGGTCACCCAGTCTTCTTCCTACATTTCCCTGCTGTGCCCTCTCCCTGTCACTCTGGGCTCCAGTGTGGAGTAAGCTGTGGTTCTGACACCGCTGGAACCCAGGGCTGGCCATGCCCCATAGCTTGGCAAAGCCTTGCTACCTGGACTACTGGGCAGAATGGCAGGACTCTGAGGCCCAAACAGCTGCTTTCTGGAGGCCTGCACCGGTTTCCTCACCATGCTTACTTGAGTTTAATGCATGTTAACAAAAGTCTTAGTGCTTTTGGAGGAGGCCTCTGGCCAGAACAGCTGAGGACTAGAAGAATAGAGCAGGTGACATGGCAGTGGATAGGGAGAGAGACACAGCAGCATGGGGCTGCACTTCTGAAACTGCAGCAAAGCACTGCAGTCACCTTGGATCTTATACTGAAGCAGGTTTGGATCTTCAGGGTGGGGAGTGGATCTGGGGTTGTGTGTGGCCTCCCAGCTGCCCCCACTCATGCTGCATGGTAACAAGGGCCTGGGACAAACTGGAACCTGTAGGTGGGCTGGTGCCTCTGCCTGTTTTTATGTCTCATGAGCTAAAAAGGTTTTTACATTTTAAATGGTTTAAAAGTATTAATATTTGTGGCACATAAAAATGAAGAATCCAGCATGGTGGTGCACACCTGTAATCCCAGTGCTTTGGGAGACTGGTGCAGGAGGATCACAAGTTTGAGCCAAGCTGGGGGCAACTTAACAACTTAGCCTGTCTCAAAAATAAAAAGGGCTGGGAATTCATCTCAGTGTGAAGGCCTGGGGTTCAATCTCCATTACTGAAAAAAACCCTATATATATATATGTATATATGTATGAAAATCAATATATATATATGATATATCAATATATATATATGAATGAAAATCAAATTTCAATGCCCATAAAGTTTGACCAGAATGCAGCCCTCTTTAATAGTGCTCGTGCTGCTTTTCTAGGTAGAATTGAGTGGTAGCAAGGATGCTGTAGTCAGCAGAGTCTAAAATGCTTCCTATTTGGCTTTTGCAGAAAGTGCCTGTTCCCAAGGTTGCCATAGCCAGCAGGGGGCAGCAAAGAGCCATGCATGGGTCAATGTGACGTGGGATGAGAAGTCGGGCTTCTTTAGTGGAGGGTCTGAGGTAGGGGTCTGAGGTAGAAGTGGCTGGAGGAGCTGGGGTGGCAGTCATTATGCGGGAGTCGTGAGGTGATGCCAGGTAAGTGGGGGAGTAAGAAGCAAACTGATGTTGCTGGAGTGGAAAGGACAAGGCCTGCGGGGCATGGGAGAGCCCTGGCAGAGCGAGGATACCACACAGGGCTTGGACTTCAGGTGAGGGGATAGGGAGTTACTGGAGGGCTTTGGGTGGTGGAATGATGCCATTGGCTTTGGAAGGAGGGACTGTGCTTTGGTGTCTGTGCCTCCGGGGGTGCAGTTGCACCAACCAGTCCAGGAGCAAGATGAAGAGAGGCTAAATGAGGCCCTGACAGACCTGTCCCGTGAAGAGCCCAACCCAGGATCTGCAGAATTCACTGTCTCTTGCATTCCTCGTTTTCACCCCAGAACTGGCTGACTGATGAGCAGCACTGCTATTTTCTTTTTCTCTCTCCTTGTTTTCATGCTTACCATGATGCAGTGGAATTGGTGCTCTCTGGTTTCAGCCTAGCCATGGTCCTGACAGTGGCTTTTGTGGATGTCAGTTTCACCCATTGCGAGCTGGTTCTACTAGTTTAACTCTCAGTGTGGGTGAGGACTTTTGATACCTTTTGCTTCTGCTTTAGAGAAGTATCTTGATGTGGAGGGTGAGGCTCTGAGGCTCCTTTCAGGATCCAGTGAACACCTTTAGGAAAACATGAAGATGCACACAGACAGGTAGACCCCAAAGCTTCAGATGCCATTGCGGGGGTTCCTCACTCAGAGTGGTGAACATCCCGACTGGAAGGCACATCCACTTTGAGATTTAGGGCTTGATGTTAAGGGCTTAACATGAGGAATGTCCATCCCCTCCCAAAAGTACCCCTGCCCACCCTAACTTTCTTAACTGTCCCTGTCTGTTGGTTGTTCTTGGGCAATGATGCTAATACCTAAATCTTTCTTTGGAATGGATAAAAATCTTCCAAACAGAAAAACTAGGAGCTGATCTGAATTCCTGGCGTGGAGGCCTTGTGGGTTGGCCTGTGCATGCAGCAGAGCACAGGCTCTGGGGATCCCCACCCCGGGCAGACCCCTTCCTGAGCGTGTGTCTAGAAAGCATTGTGGTTGTGGAACTGTGAACATGCAGCATTTTATTGTGGGGATCTGAATACATTTGAAAGTCTCTTTCCTTGAAACAAAAAAGGTAATATATTAGATGCAGTCTGATTTGGGAAATTAGCCACTATAACTACAAATAAGTAGATTACATTTTTAAAGAGATTAATTTAATCTTCATCACAAGGAACATTTGGAGGAATATATTCATTCAATTATGAAATTGTTCCAAAGGGCAAATAGAAACTAAAGCTTAAACTATTTTTTAAATTATCCAGATTTAGAAAATCTAACACTGACTTTTAATAAAAAGTCATTCCCAATTATTATGGTCTCTTATTCTGTGGTGTGTGTGTGCAGTGCAGTGTAATTTCTATAACAAAAATCATCTATTTTGGTGTACACGTCAATGATTTTCAGTAAGTTGACAGCTATACAACCAACTTCCAAAATCTAATTTTTGAGCATTTCTATCATCCCCAAAGGATCTCTATTTCATCACAAGAAATAAATGATCAAGATATGTTACATACATATATCAATTCTCCAAAATGAACATACCTATTATGTATTGCAAACACACATAAATTTAAAAATGCAAATGATTTTTAAAAGTGATGTTTGAAAAAGAATTTTAATTTACTGCTTCCTGTGTGTGCAGCACCAAAGTTGTGTTTTCACTGCCAAGTGACCTTTACCAATCTCTCCTCCAGGCAAACGGGAGACAGTTGGGGCAAAACTCCTGCAATCTTATCAGAGGCTGAGGTGAGTGTTACAAAGGACAGATCGGCCCTCCAGGGTAGGAGTGCAGAGGACACCTTGAAAGAACTTACTGATCTCTTGACTTTCCAAGGTCACCACTTCGGAATGCAACTTTTTTTTAATAATGTTTAAGTACCTGGAAAAGACTGACTTGCAAAGTGACTTGCAAAGATGTTTCCAGATTCTCATGAGGCGCCTTCTAGCTATCATAGTGTTTCCTCACTCAGCATTCTGCTTTGTTTCTCACATTCTCCTGGAGAGTTGTAAGAAAATGAAATATTGCTTTTGATTGCACCTTTGATGATGACATTCTAAACCAAGCATTTGCTTTAATCATTCATATCTCTAACACCTTACCTGGTGCCAGGCAGGTTAGAGATATTTGTGGAATAAACATTGGCACCACTGAATAATGATCCAAGAGTTGTTAACTTCTTTGCACCAAATTCTAACCCCTCACAGCCTTGCAGCTGGGTACAACCCACACAGCTGATTGCTCTGAACTTATTCAAGTTTTTCTGAGGGTTCCCACCAGCTGCCACTTTTTTGGCTTGTGATGAGTTTTGTCTAGTCTCAGAACTTCATTTTTCCTTCCTCCATTTGTTCCCACTTTTTAGCCCACAGCCCTAGTTCCTTTCATGGTGGGTGTTGTTTTTTTTTTCACCTGCTCCATTATGGCCCTACTGCTACTTTGGTTCACATTGAGAGAACCCCGGAGTCCAGAAGGGACCCTGCACTGAAGGCTGGGGTCCCCTGCTCCCCTGCTGCCCACCTGTCCCAGAACACAGGGATGGCATGGATGCCCAGACTTCGGTCAGCTCTCAGATCCTAGAACAGTGCTCCTTGGAGCAGCAGGTCTGAGCAGAGCTACTGAATCTTGTTCCAAAAATTGAGGCAGTTAAAAAGAAGCAAAAAAAGGCTGAGAACTTGAGTTATAGAATAATGACACTTGTATATTTGTAAAACTGGCAACTTGTATAATTTGCAACCTGTCTTATTCCTGTATTTTTTCTTGGCAGCACAATCTCCGTGGTTCCTCCTACTCCACCTCCACTCAGTGACAGCCAGTGCAGTGGCAGCCCTGGCAGGGTAACTGTCTGTGTGGGACGTGGGGAGGCGGGAGGACAGGGCTGGAGAGTTGGGCCAACAGCCTTGCAGCGAAGGGATCCAATTTGGACTGCAGTGATTTCCAGGGGAAGGCAGAGAGTGAAAGTTGGAGGCTGGTCGTGGACCATCTACGCTGTTAGCTGACCCCTTCTGTCTCTATCCTGAGTCCTCACCTCTCTACTCTTCCTCAGCTGTGGTCCCCAACTATGCATTGTGTCTTTGAGTGAGGGGTTTGCAAAGGCTGCGTAGGAGGGAGTAGTGGGTCTGAGGTTTCCCAGGGAAATTACAAATTGACTATCAGCGTGTGAGCATGGGAGTGCCTGTGGAATATGAGTGTATCTTGTTGGTGTCTGCAGCCTCTGATGTAAAGTGGACCATCACCACTTCTGTCCAAAGAAATCAGCTATGCAATCTTGGGGAAGTTACCTGGATTCCCACTGTAGAGGTGGAAATAATTCTATTTGCCTGGCTTTTTTCCTGTGGCTATTGTGAGAAATCAATAAAATAATGTCTGCATGGGTACTTGCAAACTGTAAAGTGCCATGGAAACATATACTCTTGATTATTTTCATTATTCTGTGAATTAAGAGAGCAATTATATTGGTATATGGGAGAATATACATATCTGCTTATGAAAGAGAAAAAATATGTATATGCTCAGTTTCACACTGAGACTCTAGGGTAACATCAAAATCCTACCTTCTCCTTGAGATTCTAAATTCTCCAAAGCTTCTCTAGCACCTATGTGTTTGAGTAACAATATGCTTGTTGGATGGGTGATGAATGGATAGATGATGAATGGACTGTTGAATGAACAATGGATGATGGGATGGGTGGTGGGTAGTTGGAGGAGTGGACAGTAGATGGATGGCCAGTGGATAGATGAATGGTTGAATATATGGATGGATGAACTGGTGGATGAACAGTGGACGGTTAGACAGTTGGATGGATGGGGGCAGTGGATGGGGATGGGTGATAGTAGATGGAGGGTGGATGGATGGACAGACGTGACTTGGAGAAGGAAATGATCACTTCTCTTTTTTTTTTTCCTCTCCACTTTTTTGATAATCATTTCTTCTTTGGGAGGCAGAACTCCTTGGGTCACTTTGGGTTTTATGCCATCCTCAGCCCCTGTGTCACTTACCTTCTGCCCAGGTTTCCACCCCTTCTGCATGGAGTTGGAGTAGGGCCATAAGAGAAAGGTTAAACAAGCAGTGATTTATGTGGTTACAATGAGCTAATGAAACATAGAGGTAGTTGTTATCTTGTGACTAATTGATAATGCTCCTTCCTTAATGAGGATGTCAGGCTACAGGGGAGAGACACTGAGTGCAGAGGCTACTGTCTCTTGGGAGGCTGTGTCCCTCCACCTCTGGACACACATGCATACACCCACACCTGCACACACCCCGAGCACCCACCCCCACCCCCACTTGCAGTGTTTTGGGGCCAGTAGCCTGGAGATGAGAGGGCAAACACAGGTCATCGAACATAACTCATTCTCCTGTTTCTTTTTAGTTCCAGGAACTTGGTCAGTTTAAAGGATTTAATAAGTCGGTGGAAAATTTGTTTCTGTCTGTTGCCACCCACATGAAAAGTAAGTGGATACCTCAGGATGTGTTCTTCCCAACACGCAGGCCATCCTCCGTTTCCAGACCCAGGGGAAAGCCGCAGCACCTGGCCCTTCTCTTCACCCAGAAAATGCCTCTGGTTCCTTGAGGAAGGAGGAGATCCCTTTAGGGTGCCTCATTTTCCTCTCTTGCCAAAACCTGCCTGTGAGCCCCACGAACAAAGGAGCATGGCATATTTAGACCTTCTAAAGGACCAGCAAAGGAGACATAAAGATATGATTCCAGTGAATCAGTACCAGGACCTTTCAAGCTCTGTGGAGCCCAGTATCTGTCATTTGCCTAGAATTACTTGTCCGTTCTGTTTCTCCTTGAAAAATTTATTTTCTTCAGTTTGTAGTAATTCTGCAGTTTGCAGATGCAGGTAACCCAGAGCCACCACTGCTTGGAATCCTGTCTCTTTCAGTGTTCCTTCTACTCAGATACATTTTTTTCCTGTTTATCCTAAAGTGCAAGCCGTAGAAGACGGACCCCTGTCCCGCATCCTGAGACAGCAGAGCTGCCCAGGTGTTTAGAAAATGTCCTTAATGACTTCAGGGGTCCTTTTCTCTTTACATTTCTGTTTAGTTTCTATTCATCATCCCTTTTCCTACAGTTTCATATGGATGGGCTCATTGTTGTACGCTGGCTCTGAGACAGTCTTGTGATTTAATTTTAATTGGTCATCTATATTCTGCACAAACCCTGTCTAAGCTGCCCCATGACAACAATTGAAATTAAAGCCCTGTTCAGATAAGCTGCAACAGCCACTATCTCCTGCTACAGTCTGTCCCCTTCTCTTTCAGAAGGGGAAAGCAGCTGAATTATTTGGGCCAGTTTACTAAGAGTGCCTGAGGAGGGTAAAAATCACCCCTTACTCTTACCCCATGCCCATTAGCTGGCTGTGACAGCTACCTGTGCTCTGTGCAGCTGGCTGTCTTCCTGTAGTGGGTCTTCTAGTTGGACCTTCTCTGCATCTTTCTAGGAGCATGCCCCTCCCTAAATTCCCATGATTCCTGGGAATTCCCTCCTCCCATGCTACTGCACTGTCAGTGCCTTGGAGTTAACCCAACCCCGATATCCCTCAGCCCCAGAAATCCAAACAGGTGGGACACTTGGGTCACTGTACCCCTTCCCAAACAGCTGGCCCCAAGCCTCACCTGTGTGCATCTGCCCACACATCTGAGACTCACCAGTTTAACACCTGGGTGGACAGCTAGAGCTAATTGCCAAGTGGAGTGAGGGGGGATTCACAAGAGCAAAACAGCATTCCTTCTCAGATACGGGAAGTGAGCTGAGACCCTGTACCCAGCCTGTCCCTAACCCAGAGGCAAGGATAGCAGGAAACCAGCCTTCTGGCTCCTGGGAATGCCCATATGCCTTTCCTGAGAACTTCCTGCTGGTTGCACAGGAATGGGGCATGTGGCTTCCCATGCTCTCCATGCTGCCCTTCACCCTGTCCCTGTCCACATACTAACACATAACCCTCATGATCTGCTTTCCTGTTTCCCTACAGAAGTGAGTGTGGAGGGAGCCCCACTCTGTGGGGAGGAAGTCAGGCTGACACCTGTAGGGAGGGGCTAGGAAGGGCCCCAGGTTTTTCCTGGATCAGTGACCCAGGAGGCTGGAAGGAGGCCTTGCCTATCAGGAGCTGAGAAAGCTGTCTCAAAATTACAACTTCTGGTTGCCAGTGTTGCCCAAACCAGCTGGAAGAAGACATTATTCCAGCCCTTTTATAATTGGTAGTTGCTAGGGGGTGGCAGCATGTCAGTTCCCTTAGGAAAGGGGATGTTGATTCTTGCTCAGGAGTGACCCATGTGTTTCCTTCTGTTCCCACCTCTCCCCGAATCATGCTGATGTATAAGCCCACTTGTTAGAACCCAAACTGCTCGGCAAGGCTCTTATTCCCCTTCAGTCTGTGAACTTGGAAGAGACTGAACAAGCACTGGCTTTGGGGCCCCCTGTACAGATGCTGTGGGAATAGCGACCCTCTCATGCCCTCCACAGCCAGGCTGGGAGTGGTCCCACAAGGAGGTAGCTGAGGTCATCAGGTAGAGGACCCGAGTAGGCTTGTCTCTTCCTGCTGCCAGCCGTAGGGAGCTGCTCCAAGACTTCTGGATGGCTCACTTCAGAATGCAGGGGTGGCGTGGCCCTCACAGAAGAGAGGCTAGGAGGGGAGGTGGCAGGGTGGGTGGCCCAGGGCTTGGGGAGCAGGCACAGGGTCTTCCTCTCTGGGAACAGACCTCTGAGTATCCCCCAGCAGTGCAGGCAGGAGAGAGCTCAGAAAGAGCAAAGGTTTAGGGATTCACACCATGAGATCTCAGTGAGGGGCCTGGAAGTCAAAGGCTAGCCTGGAGCCACACTGTCCTTTGCAGTAGCCCATAGCCATATCAGTTGCTCTTGATCCCCTGAAATGAAGCCCTCAAATGTGCTGCTAGGGTAAGCTGTGTACCACTTTTGCAGATTGGATGTTTAAAAAAAAGGATTCCACAGATAACTATAATAGTTTTAAAAGTTTTTATTAGTATACGCTTGCAATACATAATAAATATCATTATTCATTGTGGCATATTGGTACCTACACATATCTTGATCTTTTTTGTAACTAATGTTAATTACATGCTTAATAACATTTTGGATACATTATATGAAATATAGAATTAAAGTTAATGCTACCTATTTCTTTTGACTTAATGTGGCTTCTAGAAAATAGTATTATATCTGTGGCTCGAATGATGTCCCTGAACAGGTAGCAGTGCTGTGTTAGAGATAATGCTAAAGCCTGCAGGTGCTAGGAGGCTCCATGGAGGAAGAGTCTATTTAAGGTGGATCTTCACTTCTGTGTGTGGTTCCACCTTTCACACTTTAGTCCTTTTTTTCTAGACCACCATTCTGCAAAGATAGTAGAAAAAAATTAAGTCATCTTCTCAGGGTATGCTTACTAAAATAGTTATAAAGATACCTCAGATCTTACTTTTACCCTCTCTAAGAGTCACAAGGAATGGTATTTAGTCTTAACATCATTGTCAGGAACCCCCGAAAAGTGGCTGGTTTGGTTGGTGGCCATCTTTGTGTCTGGACAAGTGTATACTTATTCAGATGACCCACATTGCAGGGGAAGGTGGGGGCTTCCCTTCAACCCCCACCGTGACAGTGGCTCTGCCCTCAGAGGCATGTGGTCTGTGTGACCACAGGGGGCCCTTGAAGGAATCCAACCCCTCTCCTGCCCTGTGTCTAGCACACAGTGTCTGGTCACCCTCCCAGTGTCCTGGTGCCCTGTGCCCAAGGACTATGGCACCCTTTCCCCTCCATCAGCATTGCTCTCCTGGCTCATTGGGGCTGTGGGTTACAGGGAATTCCAGAAGAGGCCTCCACAGGCCTCGGCAAAGCTGCATGCTCCTGGCTGTCAACCTTGTGTTTGTTTTTTAGAGCTTTCCAAGTCCCAGAATGACATGACCTCTGAGAAGCATCTTCTAGCCACGAGCCCCAGGCAGTGGGCAGGCCAGATGGAGAGACGGAGCCAGTCAGACACTGCTGTCAACATCATCACCAGGGTACCTGAGGCCTGCCTGGCCTCTGCACTGACCCCTTATTTTGTTTCCCAGAGCTTTCTGGGTTTTTCTCTGTAGATTTACTTTTCCTCTCACAGTAACATTATTAAGGAGTTAAAAAAAAACAAAAAACTATAATGATTAGCTCCTATGTTTGGGCAGGCCTGCCCAGAATAGGGGCAGAATTTTAAGATTAAAGCCAGGTATAGTGCTACACAGCTGTAGTCCCAGCTACTTGGGAAGCTGAGGCAGTAGGATCATTTGAGTCCAGGAGTTCAAGGCCAGCCTGGGCACCATAATGAGATATCCCCCCTCAAATTAAGAGTTAACCTGGAAAGCCATTGAGAACAGGGTCAGACTTTATCATGATCCTGAGGCCCTGAGGCTTCAAGGCTACACCAACGTCAAGTAACTTACCTGCAAGGGCCAAAACTTGACATTATTCTGTAAATCCCTACTCGCCATTAAAAGGCCTTCCAAGGCTGGGGATTTAGCTCAGTGGTTCTGGTGCCTGCCCCACAAGGACCTAAGTTTGATCCCCAGTACCAAAAAAACCCCAACCAAACAAAAAAACTAAAAGGCCTTCCTACTTCCACTTAGGGCCAACAGGCTTTGGATAAAATCTGTCTTGGTTTTAGATGGAAACTATGAAAATCTTGAATACTGTTTACTCAACTTAGCGAGAGTACACCTAAGGCAGGCTTTGAGGGAACTAACACTCTGCACTCCACCATGAATAATCACATTGGAAGCAGGTGCACTGGGCAAGAGAGAAGGCAGAGTTGGGGATCACTGGGTCACAGAGGTGACCTGGCTAGGCAGAGGCTGGCACCTGTGTCCCTTCTCTGTGGCCAAAGGCTCCGCTCAGGACATCCTAAGACAGACCTTAAGGCAAGGGTGTGAGGTTAGCCCTCTCGGGCTAGAACAGCTGTGCATGCTCTCAAGACTTCAGGTCCTGCTCTCCTCTGCTGCCCTCACCCAATCCCGGGATACCCCTGCAGAGCATGAAGACATCTGTAGTACCTGTTCTGCCCAGCACAAGGTTCTAAGAAGCATCCAGTGAGATAATGTACTAATTTGTCATCTACACATATTCTCTAAGTTGCCAGACTCTATACAAGAGCTCTTCCCAGACCATCTCATTTTATTTGTATAACCACTCCAGGAGGTAGGTATTGCAGGGAGTCCCATTTTTCATTTGGGGACATGGAGGCTTAGACAGGTTAAGCCACATTTCCACAGCTGGAAAGGGGAGGGCTGCCTTTGAACTGACCCCAGTTTGCCTTGGAGGCTGAGCTTTAGAGCAGCGATTCTTCATGTGTAGCTGGATGAGACTTTGAAATGCAGACTCCACATTGAGAGTCTGGGTAGGCATGCAATGTGGGGTCAATAGATGCATTTCTGTTGAGCTCTGGGGGACCAGGGGAGGCTGGTGCTGGGGAGTAAGGTGCCTGGTGTATCTGAAGTGTATTTACCAGGTCTCTGGGATTCTAAAGAGCAAACAGCCAGGGGTGGTGGCACAAGCCTGTAATCCCAGCACTCAGGTTGAGGCAGGAGGATTGCCATGAGTTCAAAGCTAGCCTGCCCTACAAAGAAAGACCTTGTTTCAGACAAAAGAACAAATAAGTGTTAGCTCATGTTGGCTTCTTCACGATCAACTCCTTTGCTCAAGTAGGCAGAAGAGAGGGTTAGTGCCCGTTTCTGAGGCACTATGTTCTGGCCATGATGGCAGCCCTTCAAATGTACTTCATGTTTAATTCTGGAAACTACACTGAGAAAAACATTCTTACTTCCATGATACAATTCTGAGTTTTAAGGAGAGGTTAAACAACTTATCTAGCAGCTCATTGCTAAAAAAGGATGAAGTCAAGAGCAGGACTCTGGCTTTATGTGATTTTTAAATAATCCTAAACACATGATTTCATTTTATGCCCAGCATTAATACAAGCGAGGACTGTTGAAGAAAGGGTTGAGGAAGGGATTTCTGGAACTGTGAATGTTTCGCTCTTTTTTTTCCCCTCTGTCCTTTTTTTGTTTTTTTGGTAGTGGGATCAAACTCAGGACCTTGTGCTTTCGAGGCAGGCAGCGGAACCACTGAGCTAAATCCCTGGCCCAAGTATGTTTCTCTTACTGCATGAAGCCATTCTGATGTCAGCATTGACCTTGGGCTTAGTCCTCACCAGATCTGACCTGTGTAGGGAGCCCTCATTGGGATTTAACTTTTGTAACCCTGAATACAACCCTGTGAAAGTTGTACTGTTATTGTCCCCATTAAATATGAGGACACTGGGCACAGAGATAACAAGGGGGCAATGTAACCAGAAGGGACCGCCCTGTGAGCCATGCTGAGAGGCCATGCTTTTGTTTGTGTTGTGACCGGCAGCCCAAGTACCCTGGGGCTTGAATTTTGCATTGCAAATGTTGTTGCCCTGACCTGTGGTCCCTGGCACAGACTTCTCCCACCGCAGGGTGCAGGGCGGAGCGAGGGCCTTGGAGATCTCATGCATGTACCGGTTTGCCCCTGGCTCGTGGCCAGATGCACTTACAACCTTGTGGTGGCCTTCTCACTCCCCATCTTAATTGAGGATGTGGCTGTTTTGAGGACCAGTTTAGCCAAATGTTTACAAAGTACTTGGCAATTATGGCATGACCTGTAAATGCTAAAGAATTATTGGGCTGAAATATAAGAAATATTATAAACAGGACACCTGTCAGACTACAATTCCACCTGTCTTGGCTGGCGAGCTTGTGAGAAGTGTGCTGACTTTCATCGGAATGCTTTAGAGCATTGTGCCAGTATGAACGATGAAACACAGTACCCTGGGGAGTAGGGGTCATCAGTGTCCACCTTGCAGGTTGGCTACACTAAAGCGCAGAGGCAGAAGATACCCCCCCCCATTTAAAAAAATGACATCTTGCTATGTTGCCAAGGTTGGTCTTAAACTCCTGGTCTCAAGTGATCTTCCTGCCTTGGCCTTCTGGCAGCCTACAGACATGCGCCACTGCACCCAACTTACATAACTGCCTTAAAGCTGAGTGATGACTCCAGGGTCGCAGCTAGGTAGACAGCTTAAATCTCTTCTATATCACTGCTGTGACCATTAAGTTTGAAAATGTTCCTGCAGACATCTCCACTCTGGACCAGGATTTTCTTTAAAAATATTTTTTCACATTTTTAAAAAAATGTAGTGCTTATTGGATATACAGATCAATGGGTTTCATTTTGGCAGATTTGTACATGCACATAACATACTTCAATTATTTTCACCATTCCTATCATCCCCTTTGCCCCACCATCCCCACTAGTTTCATGTGTGTGTATGTATATGTGTATTTTGTGAATATATTTTGATTTATTCAACCTCCTGGTCCAGGATTCTTCAAGAAGTAAACTCGCTTCACCTTTCTGGGGTATTCCAGTGTTTTATTTTTGTAGTACTGAGGATTGAACTCAGGTCCTTTGCTCTAAGCTACATCTCTACCTAGCCCATTTAAAAAAATTTTTTTTTTTAATTTCAAGACAGGGTCTTACTAAGTTGCTCAGACCCGGTTTGCACTTGAGATCCTCCTGCTTCAGGATGAAGTGTGCTGCTACACCCAGCTCCCCCGTGGGTTTTACGGCACATCTTATGCATGTGTACTTGGTCTACACGGGCCATGAACTCTACACCAGTTAAATAGGAAGATGCATGAAAAGCTAGTAGAGGGAAAGGGATCGAGGACAGAGGCAGAGAAAAATGACTTAATTTCATTGTTTTCCTTTGTACTCATGAAGCTTTTCCCACTGACACCTGAATCTAAAGAAACAACCTACTTTGCACTTGGCCTCCCAACACAGCTGCTCACCCCACCAGCTGGCCGCATCCCAAAGGCAGGATGAGGGGAGGAGGAACAGCTAGGACTGAGTCATTTCCCAACTGTGAAAGACCTCAGGTTGCGTGGCAGTGCTCACTCTGGTGATGACAGGAGATGCGTCCGCTTCCCAGGTGGAATGTGTCTTTGCTCTGAGCATCAAGCTGCAGTCTTTTCTGTTAAGAAGCAACTTTAGATGAAATCTCAGCGGTGCGAACAGTTGCTTTTCCTTCTCTGATCTATGTTCATAGCTATTGCCAGCAAAAACCCCAAATGCAGTTCCTGGTTCCAGAGAGGCCACAAGTTGATCAAATGAAACAATGTTTATTGATGTTTCCCGGAACAATGTTAAATATAATGCAGTAACTCTTGCAGAGTAGACATTAGGGCAAGCATTCTCATGTGTAATCTGAGCTAAACTAGTCACTGACTTACATTAAAATCACAAGGGAAACGATTCCCATCTCAATGACATTGATAAGCCCTAGGATTGTGATGCCCTTTAATAAGGCATTGACTCTGAAGTGTCATCCAAGTCCTTAAGAGTTTACTGGGGGAAAAGTTGAACACAAAATTTCTGCTTGGACTCCTTAGTCAAGTCTTTCAGAATGGTACTGACTTTTCTAATCTTGAAATAGTCACATTCACAGTTAAGCTTCATTAAAGGTTTCTTGAGTCCTGACCTATTTAGAAAGTCTTCCCTGGCCATGAACTTGATGTACCCTCTAATCTCTATAGACAGTTTTCTTTGTTCTTTTCTAGAGCTTTCTGTCATTTTTTAAAGATTCAAAACATGATTTAAAAAATGTATATTGGATAGTACATTAGTTAGCTTTAGCTGCCTTAATACCATAGACTGGCTGGTTTAAATGACTGACATTGATTTTCCCACAGTTCTGGAGGCTACAAGTCTGAGATCAGGTCTGGAATGTTCAGGGCCCTTTTCCTGGCTTACTGACATCTGCCATCTTGGAGAGTCCTCCCGTGTCAGGAGGGGAGAATGGGGTGGGAGCTCTCCATTGTCTTTTCTCATAAGGTTATGAATCCTATTATTTCTCTCAAGTTCCCTCATTGTAACCTCTCCTAAGATTCCCATCTCCAGATACCATCAGGGGAGTTAGGGTTTCAACATAAGAATTCTGGGGACACAGTTCAGTCCATAGTAAACACCGAGGCAGTCCAAAGCTCTGTTTCTTTCTGTTCCTGTCTGACTGGGGATTGCTGTCCTGGCACGCCATTCTCCAAGGCCCTCAGAAGCAGAAGCCTTGTGGCAGACAGCCTCTGCATCCTCCCTGGCATTTCTCTGGCTCCTTTCCATGGAGTTTCCTCCATTCACTTGCAGCTTTAATGTCTCCAACCACTTCTCTTCACCTTCAAAAACAAGAGCAATGCTTTGGAAGTGTTCCTGGTGCAGCTGCTCTTCTGTGGTTTTCATGGCCAACATTCTCAGAGTCCTCTCCTTCAGCCTTTGCTGCTGCGCTCTCTGCCCTCCTGTTCCTCTCTCCCGTTCCTTTCTGACTTCCTGGCAGTCTGCTCTTCCCCAACCACTGTGGAAAGTTCTCTGGGAAGCTCCAGGGACTCCTGGCTTGATAATGGGGGTGGCTGCATTTCAGTCATCACCCTCTTGTTGCTTTGTCCCATTGGACATGGTTCACCAGGCTTCCATTCTTTAGAGATGACTTTTGATTTTCTGTGTAAAACTTATACCTACGTACTATTAAACATTTTTAAAAAAGAGATGAGAAGACTGAAAAGGAGAGGAGGATGAAAAAAAACTACATACAACACTAACCCCAGAAAGAGCCATTTGAGCCCCACACATAAATCCATATAACAAAAATAGCCTCATACATCCACTTTTGTAATTTTCTTTAAAAAATATTTCTTTCCATGTCAACAAATATATATCCTCATTTCAAATAGGGTACATTTTAGGGCTTTTAATCCATGCTGCCAAGGTGTCCTCCTGTGTCACCTATCCTCCAAGACTCTTGCCAACGCTCAATTTTATACCTTTTCCTCCAATATGTCTATGGTGGTAAAGTATACGTCACATAAAACCCTCTTATCCCTGTTTCAGTGTATAATTCAGTGGCAGTCACCTTGGTGTGCAACTATTACCATCCATCTCCAGAATTCTTTATCTTATGAAACTGAACTTTTTAATATTTGCCAATTTGATAGGCAGTTGGTTAAATTTTGCATTTTAATTTCAGATGAGCTTTTGCTCATACTGTTTTTCCCTCTTGGAACACTCTTCATACTTGAAATCCTCTCCTTGGGCCTGCTGATCTTCCAGCCCTGCATCTCCTTCCCTGTGGCTTTGGTTGATGCTACTGTGACCACCCTTTATGTCCTCTTGGACACCTTCACACATGCTCTGTGTGCTCATGCTCTCTTTGCCAATCTCAGCCTGGCAGGTGCGTCCAGTCTGTGACCCACAAGTTGGACCTACCTGGCTTACCTGAACTGTGTTGAATGAATAGAAATTGTCTTGGGCCACATAGAAAACATAATATAGTTAATGTATATAAATAACAAAGCTTCCTTATTAAAATATTTTTATAACATTAAGAAAGGCAGTGGCCCACGCACTGGACACACCTGCCCTAAAGTGCCTGCAGACCTTGGAATGTGCTTGGGACTTGACCGTTGTGATAACTGCTCCACTTGGGGCCTTACATTTTGGTCTTTAGCTGCCCTTTAGCTTCCCACTCAGGTCATTTGCCCATTGAAGATCACCTAGGATGCCCTCATCCTGAATAATCTTGCCCTCTCCACCTTCCCGTCAATGTGGCTCGTGTCTCCCTTGTCATGTGTCTCTGTTTCCCAGTAGCTAGTTAGCCCTTGGAGAACAGACCTCATATCTTCCTCCCTCCTCCCTCCTCCTCTCCCCCTCCTTGATTAAAATGATGGACTGAATATAGTGTTGCTTAACAGCTATCTCTGAGAATCAAGTTAATTTGGAGGGAATCCTGTCTTTCAGTTTTTCTGTAATGGTCTCACTTAGCATTTTATTCATGAAAATTATGATTTTGGTGCAACCATTATATTTCCAGGTTCTACTACCAATCCAGCATCAAGACCTAAAGTATCAACTCTGAAACTTTTTAGACTGGAAGAGGTTTTCCCAACTTGCCCATTATATGTATTACTCTGTCCTAGCACTGCCTGATAGAACTTTCTGCACCAATGGAAATGTTCTTTAACTGAAATGTCCTGTACAGTAGCCACTGCTATATGTCCTGACTGAGTACTGTACTTGAAATGTGTCTAGTACAATTGAAGAGCTGAGTTTATTTTATTTCAATTAATTTGAATTTAAACAACCTGATGTGGCTAGTGGCTACTAGAAAGCACCACTATAAATATTATAGAAGAAATGCCAACTACAAATATTTTTATAAAGTTTAGAGGGACATTTTGATTTTTTTCCCTTTTCATGAGCATGTTAGAGATAAAATTGCTTTTTAGGCTGAATGTTGTATTTTCTGTGGTTAGATGTCAGGATCATTATTAAGGTCAAAATTTGGGTTTCTTTAAGACCTACTAGTCCATTAATAACCCACCCAACAACATTCATGAATGTCCCAAAGCTTGATGATGTCTGCCCCCTGGCTCTGAGGGTGTGTGTGTATGCATTTATCCAAACACAAATGTGTCTTCCTACTCAGCTACTGGAAGTTTGCATATTAGTAACATCAAACAGTAGATGCAGATAGACTGTGCTTGCTGAACCAAGGCAGGTGGGAATGAGGACTATAACATCAATTTTGTTTTTCCTTCTCCAGAAGGTCAGCACACCAGATATTCTGAAATCTCTCCTTCAAGAATATCCCAAACACTCTACTAGCCCTGTTTTGAAGCAAGAGACTCTCCCATCCATTTCAACTCCTACCACTTTGTTCTCTGGAGGCTTGAGACACGTGAGTCTTGTCCCAGTACTGTGGTCATGGTGTGATAATCAAGACATCAGTTGGGGATGTGGCTCAGTAGTAGAGAATGTGCTTAGCATACATTAGACCCTGAATTCAATTCCCAGGACTAAAAACAAAACAACTGAAAAAAACCCTAAAAACAAAACAAAACAAAACAAAAAAAACAACCAAACAAAAACCCATCAAACTATTGGTAGGCAGGAATGAACTGTTGTGAGATAAACAGGAACCTGATAATAAGACTTCAGTTTGACTATAAGAATTCTAGTGAAGCTGGGGTGAGCTTCGCTATACTTTGAAATAGGTTTTTTTTTTTTACAATAACTTATTGTGAACATTTTCATACATACAGGGAGTAACTATTAATAAAATAATGGGATCTTTTGATAAGGAGGCTTTAATTTTTTTTTTTGGTACTGGGGATCGAACTCAGGACCTTGTACTTGCCAGGCAGGTGCCAGCACCACTGAGCTACATCCCCAGCCCAGGAGGTTTTAATTTTGATGAAGAATTATTTTTCAAAGTTTGTGGTTATTTCATATTCAGTCTACCCACAAGTCATGAAGATAATCTCCTGTTTTCATCTTAGAAGTTTAAAACTTGAGCCTTTATGTTTAGGTCTATGCATGAATCTATCAATTCTTTTGTAAGTCGTGTTAGACTGAGGTTGAGGCTAATTTTTTAATAAGATATTTAGTTAATCTAGTACCACTTTCGTTTTCCCCAGTGACTTTGACATATTTTATGAAATTCAAATCACTCAGGCTCTCTATTGTGTTCCACCGGCATCTAGTTCTGTACTTATGCCAACACTACATTGTCTTGTTTAGCTTTGTAGTGAGTCTTGAAGTTGGGTAGTGTAAGTCTTAATTTTCTTTTTTCAAGATTGCTTTGTAATGTTTTGAATATCTTCTATATTTATAGATAGGCATTTTTATCTACTTCATTAATTTCAAAACATTGAGTGCTACTTTTTGCCTAGAACTGTGATATATCCTATGGTAGGTGGAACCTCAGATGAGGGGCTCTGAGGCCTCAGTTAATGGTTGGCTTACTTTGGTTGAACTACTGTAGCACATTACCATGGACTTGGTAATTTATAGATAACAGAAATGTATTTGTCATGGTTTTGGAGGATGGAAGTCTGAGATCAAGGGACTGGCAGGATTGGTGTTTAGTGAAGAGCAGTTGCTCATAGATGGCTCTGTCTAGGTGTCTGTGCATTATGGTGAAGACAGAGGGACCAGGGACCCAAATCCTGTACGAAGCCTCTTTTACAAAGGACTTACACCCATTCCATTCATAGGGGCTCTAGTTTTATGATTTAATCACTTCCTAAAGGCCCCACCTAGTAACACTGTCACACTGGTGATTCCATTTCAGTGCGTGAATTTTGGAAGCAACATAAACATTTAAAACCATAGCAGATGTCATGGCTCTTTCTCTTATCATAAGATGATCGCAAAGACTCAAACTTTAGAGACCTCATCAGGGAAATGAGTGTCCGTTCCTTTACTAGTATAACAGTGTAGCAGAACTTCCGGGAAACCAACTTCTGAGTCACATTCCAGCTCTTTTAGGGGCAAGGAGTAAGACACAGAGCAAGTCCTTTAACCAGCTTATGCATCAAGGGTATTGTGTTTTTATATAAAATGGTGTTTGGTTCAGATAATTAGGCACTTCCCTCTGATCAAAAATGGAATGAATGTTCAAGTATTTATTTTTAAATTTTTTTCAGTAAAAGACACATAGCCACTAATTCCCCTTAAAATACTTCCTCCCTCCTCAAGCACATTTGTCCCATTATTCTTGCCTCTTAGAAGCGTTCTGGAAGTCCTCTTTCATGAATGTCTGCAGTTGTGCTGTTGTTGCTGCCTTGATGTCCTGAATCCATACAAAACATTTACCTTACATGGTCATTTTGACTTTGAGTCACAAGGTGCTACATATGGTGATAAGGTGGATGGAGACAAACATAATGTGTTCATTTGACAGAAATTGTTGTAAACTGGCTCCCATGGAAAGGCCTGTCTCCTTCAAAACTATTGCTCTTCACCCTCACTCCTGAAAATGTGGGGTATGATTGGTGACGTCTGAGAGATTGTCAAAATGCAGAAGTTTGGGCCCTACCAAGACCTGCTAAGTCAGAATATGGAACCTAACAGAAGCCCAGGAGATTCACACGCATGGGCAGGTTTGAGAAACACAGCTGAGCCCTGGCAGTTTTGAATCTGGAGGAACTGTTAGAACTTGGTAAGGATTCTTGAGTACTTAGGGCTGTGCAGTTCTACATGGCAGCCATTAGTCACCTATGGCTGCTGAGCAACTGAAACATGGCCGATTCTATGAGTTTCAAACACATGCTGGATTTTGAAGACTTTAGTATGAAAAAAGCAAGATCCCAGTAATAATTTTGTAGGGCTTGGGGTGTGGCTCAATTGTAGAGCTTTTGCCTGGCGTATGTGAGGTGTTGGCTTCAATTCACATCACAAAACAAAAACTGTACAGATGCCTGTTGACATAACAGTGTACAGAATTTATTTGATTAATAAAAGATACTATAGGCTTCTACCTGTTTTTAAAAAGCAACTACTAGAAGTTCTAAAATGACATTTCTATTGGGCAGCACTGGGCTGGATCCGTTGTGGTACATTCAGTCGCACCCGGAGGAGGAGCTTTTTCCCTATGGTTCTCTGGGACACTGTCCTAGGAAGAAGCTTCATGTTCTCATTTGGTTCTCAAGCAGGTGAATGAGTACACAGTGGCCAAGGACCAGGGTTCTGCTCTAAGACACAAATGCTGTTCACACATGTCCTCTCATGGATCCATCCCCACTGCCCAGGTCCTGCAGTGAGTTGTATAGCAGAGCCAAGAGCCAAATTTCTGACTACTGATGCCTTAATTTGTTTAGGCTGCTATAAAACAACTACCATAGATTTGAATGGCTTTAAAACAGACATTTATTTCCCACAGTCCTAGAGTCAGGAAGTCCAAGATCAAGGCAGAACTGGTCTGGTGAGGTCTCACTTCCTGGTCTGTTGGTAGCACCTCCTTCTGTGTCCTCACAAGTGGAGAGGGAGTCTTCTTGGGCCTCTTTTATAAGGACACTAATCCCATTCACAAGAGCTCCACCCCATCACCTCCCAAGGCACCCTCCTCATACCATCGCCTTGGGACTAAGGTTCCAACTAATGCAGGGACACATGTCCAGAACCTAGCAGCCCTCTTAGGTGCCCTTTTCATTGAACAAGTAATGCTGAGAGAAGTCTGCCATGGTCCTGCCAGAATATTTTAGAAAGCTTGAGGCCTTGCTTCATGACCAGCTGTGGTTTATAGTTGACAACAGTTTAGGAAGATAAAAAGCCTGAGGAAACACTTTCCTCTAGACCAGGTGGGCAAGGATAATTCCAGAGCCTTCTCTCCTGCCCTGTAATGGGCATGAGGACATGGGTGCATAACATGGCCTCTGGGAGAGTTTCTCAAGATTTACCAGAAGGTTTGCCCCTACCTCAGGGCCAAGGGGCTCCCAGGAATCCAGCCAGTGTGACCCTGTCTGAGGCTGACTAGGAGGGTGAGGAGAACCTTCATAGGAAGCAGTAGGGGCATATTATGGTTTAGATCTGGGGTATCCCCCCCAAAACTTTGTATGTTTGGAAGGTGATTACATCATGGAGGTGCTGTATTCATCAGGGATTAGTCCTCTAATGATTTCACAGCTGACTCACTGTTAATAGCTAGGGTCTGGTTAGAGGCTGGTCACTGTGGGCATGACCTGGAAGGAGACGTCTCCCATCATGGCTCCTCCTTTCCCTCTCTGCTTCCTGGCCTCCATAATGTGGGCAACTTTCCTCTGCCAGACCGTTCCACCATGCTCTTCCTTCCTTGGATCCAGCTGTCTATAGACTGAATCTTCTAAAAACAATGACCCAAAATAAACCTCTCTTCTTTAGTTTGTGATTGTTGGTCCTTATGTCTCAATGATGAAAAAGCAACACAGTTTTCCTTAAATTGTCCAGCATCCTGTAGAATGGGCTTCAAGCTCCTTTAAGGGCCAGAATCCTGTCTTTGTATCCCCAGGAACCAACATAGCCGAGTACATAGATGGATCCATGGGGTTCTTATGACCTGCCCACCCTGCTCTGACCTTGCTGGCTCCCCTTCCTCACTTCACTTAACCTCATGTCTGCTCACCGGTGCTTGAACTCCCAGACACAACAGATGTCACCAAGCCATCTTCTCCTTTCCTCCTTCCTTTTGAGACCTTTCTTGGAGGTTCCAAGGCCACCTTGGAGCGCCCCCATCCTATTCTCCATCCCATCTCCCTCACCTGCCCCCTGGTTTTTCTGTGTTCTTAGCACTTCGGCATGCTATCTAACTGGCTTGTCTATCTTTCCCACTTAGCCGTCTCCCCACTAGAATGTGGTTCCCAGGTTCCTGGAGCAGTGTCTGACACATGATGGTCCTCAGTAAGTACCTGTGGGACAATCAGGTCATTGTGACCAGGCTGTTATGCTGAAAGCCTGTGCTAGCTGCTTCACAGTCTGTGGTGGTGGTGAGTACCATTATCCCATTTCAGAAGTGAAGAGCATTAGGTGACTTGCTAGCATCCTATAGTGGCTGCATGACTGACTCCGGCCCCTGGGTCTGGAGTTGGTATTCAGGCTTTTGGTACCATCTCACTGGTGTCTTGGGCTGGTTTCCCTGACCTACTTGCCTTACTTGGGACTGATCCACACCCAGAGAACCTTCAAGAGTTAAAAGCTGTCCTGTTGGCTTAGGGAGATGGGCTTAGTCTCTTTGCTCCGCTAACTCAGTGCAAATTCAGTAGGGCTCTCTATTCTCATCCTTTCTTCTAAAAATTTCTCTGGGTATGCTTAAAATGTATAACCATGAGATTGAATTATTACATTTAATTGTAATCTGCACCCTTCAGACCAAAGCAGGAAGCTGAACTCCCATGGGGCAAATAACTAGTTATTGCTTCTTGC